CACCTTTTTGCCCCTCTGCAGGGGGTACCACCGGGTTCCCCAGGCCTGGCATCCCCCCCACCTCCTCACCCCATCCCCTGGCACCAACAGACCCCTTAAACCCTGGCCCCCCATCCTCATGCTGTCCCCTTGCCAGGCTGGCACAGCCCCCTCCTTGCACTGGGAGAAACCCACCCACGGTGCCCTGTGCCCCCCATGCCCTCCCTGTGCCCCCGCTGCCCCCGTACCTGGCAGGAAGGCGAGGGCCTGGAGCAGGCGACGTTCCTGGGCAAAATCCACCATCAAGTGGCTCATGTTGTCGCTCACCTTGGCCTTGAGCGAGAGGCGGAAGGCAGGTGCCATCGTCACGCTGCGTGGGGGGGACACACACGGTGGGGGGGGGACACAAGGGTCAGCGGTGCCAGGGAGCCAGACACCCACCCAGCCCTGACTGCCACCCACCCCTGCCCTGCGTGGCCGTGGGGAGGTGGGGACGGTGGGCAGAGCCACCCCAGCACCCACGGGGCCACCCGCCGCTGGGGACCCTGGCTGGGAGGATGTTGGGGGGGGTTAGTGGGATGAGGGGGGCACAGTGGGGCACGGTGGGGCACAGTGGGGCACAGTGGGGCAGGGGGGGGCCGTACCTATCCTTGATCTGTTTGGCAGCCTTGAGAGCGCAGAGGGAAAGAGGAGGAAAAAAAGAAGCAGGTGAGACAGCAGTGCCAGGAGCCAGCGCAGCACAGCGTGCCCGGACCCCCGCAACGGTGCCAGCGTGGCACAGCATGCCCCCGTCCCCGCTGCGGCACCCCACGGCACAGCATCCCACAACCCCACAGCAGTACCCCACAGCACAGCATCCCCACAGCGGCACCCCACGGCACAGCATCCCCACAGTGTTACCCCATGGCACAGCATCCCATATCCCCACATTGGTACCCCCTGGCACAGCATCCCCATGGTGGTACCCCATGGTGCAGCATCCCCACATCCCTGATGTAGTAGCCCATGGCACAGCCCCACAGCAGTACCCCATGGCACAGCCCCACATCCCCACAGAGGAACCCCATGGCAGAGCCCCACATCCCCACATTGGTACCCCCTGGCACAGCATCCCCATGGTGGTACCCCATGGTGCAGCATCCCCACATCCCTGCTGTAGTACCCCATGGCACATCCCCAGAGTGGTACCCCATGGCACAGCCCCACATCCCCACAGAGGTACCCCACGGCACAGCCCCACATCCCCACAGTTATACCCCATGGCACAGCAACCCCACATCCCTACAGTGGTACCCTGTGGCACAGCCCCACATCCCCACAGTGGTACCCCATGGCACAGCATCCCCATAGTGGTACCCCATGGCACAGCATCCCACATCCCCACAGTTATACCCCATGGCACAGCATCCCACATCCCCACAGTTATACCCCATGGCACAGTAACTCCCCTGCAGCACCCCATGGCACAGCAACCCCACATCCCCATCCCCACAGCAGTACCCCATGGCACAGCATCCCCATAGTGGTACCCCATGGCACAGCATCCCACATCCCGACTGTGGTACCCCATGGCACAGCATCCCCATAGTGGTACCCCATGGCACAGCATCCCACATCCCCACAGTTATACCCCATGGCACAGCATCCCACATCCCCACAGTTATACCCCATGGCACAGTAACTCCCCTGCAGCACCCCATGGCACAGCAACCCCACATCCCCATCCCCACAGCAGTACCCCATGGCACAGCATCCCCATAGTGGTACCCCATGGCACAGCATCCCACATCCCGACTGTGGTACCCCATGGCACAGCATCCCCATAGCAGCACCCCATGGCACAGCCCCACATCCCTACAGTGGTACCCCATGGCACAGCCCCACATCCCTACAGTGGTACCCCATGGCACAGCCCCACAGCGGTACCCCATGGCACAGCCCCACATCCCCACAGAGGTACCCCATGGCAGAGCCCCACACCCCCACATTGGTACCCCCTGGCACAGCATCCCCATGGTGGTACCCCATGGTGCAGCATCCCCACATCCCTGCTGTAGTACCCCATGGCACATCCCCAGAGTGGTACCCCATGGCACAGCCCCACATCCCCACAGAGGTACCCCACGGCACAGCCCCACATCCCCACAGTTATACCCCATGGCACAGCAACCCCACATCCCTACAGTGGTACCCTGTGGCACAGCCCCACATCCCCACAGTGGTACCCCATGGCACAGCATCCCCATAGTGGTACCCCATGGCACAGCATCCCACATCCCCACAGTTATACCCCATGGCACAGCATCCCACATCCCCACAGTTATACCCCATGGCACAGTAACTCCCCTGCAGCACCCCATGGCACAGCAACCCCACATCCCCATCCCCACAGCAGTACCCCATGGCACAGCATCCCCATAGTGGTACCCCATGGCACAGCATCCCACATCCCGACTGTGGTACCCCATGGCACAGCATCCCCATAGCAGCACCCCATGGCACAGCCCCACATCCCTACAGTGGTACCCCATGGCACAGCCCCACATCCCCACAGCAGTACCCCATGGCACAGCATCCCCACATCCCCATAGTGCTACCCCATGGCACAGCATCCCCACAGCAGTACCCCACAGCCACAGCACCCCCATGGCACAGCACCCCATACGCCCACCGGTGTGCCCCCTGCCACGGTGTCCCTTTCTCTTGGGAGAAAGGGGACACGGCAGGTGGGGGATCACTCGGAGAGGGGGGTATCCCCAGAGTGGTACCCCATGGCACAGCCCCACATCCCCACAGAGGTACCCCACGGCACAGCCCCACATCCCCACAGTTATACCCCATGGCACAGCAACCCCACATCCCTACAGTGGTACCCTGTGGCACAGCCCCACATCCCCACAGTGGTACCCCATGGCACAGCATCCCCATAGTGGTACCCCATGGCACAGCATCCCACATCCCCACAGTTATACCCCATGGCACAGCATCCCACATCCCCACAGTTATACCCCATGGCACAGTAACTCCCCTGCAGCACCCCATGGCACAGCAACCCCACATCCCCATCCCCACAGCAGTACCCCATGGCACAGCATCCCCATAGTGGTACCCCATGGCACAGCATCCCACATCCCGACTGTGGTACCCCATGGCACAGCATCCCCATAGCAGCACCCCATGGCACAGCCCCACATCCCTACAGTGGTACCCCATGGCACAGCCCCACATCCCCACAGCAGTACCCCATGGCACAGCATCCCCACATCCCCATAGTGCTACCCCATGGCACAGCATCCCCACAGCAGTACCCCACAGCCACAGCACCCCCATGGCACAGCACCCCATACGCCCACCGGTGCACCCCCTGCCACGGTGTCCCTTTCTCTTGGGAGAAAGGGGACACGGCAGGTGGGGGATCACTCGGAGAGGGGGGTCCATGCTCCCACCCAGCCCCACAGCGGGCACAGCCAGCCCAGCATTGCCCCAGTGCAGAAAGAAAGGAGGGTGCCCGCCTGGGGTAAGCACAGACCCAGGGTGGCATCGACCAGCTGGCAAGGGGTGGGGGGGAATAGGACACCCCCAGCGTCGGGGGCAGATAGATGGGGACAACCCCCGTGGTGGTGGGGACGTACCTGGGGGAAGTCGTGGTGGTTGGCCGTCCCCAGGGCCTGGTTGGCCGCCTCCAGCAGCTCCTCCGAGCTCTCCAGGGCCTTGGCACATGCTGCCAGCTGGGCCTGGGGTGGGGAGGGAGAGGGACAGGGGTGGGTGATGGTGGCAGGGGACACACACACACACACACATGCAGGGTGGGCACTGACCTGCAGCTCGTAGGTGCGGCTGGCGCGTTCCTGCTTGATCTTCATCAGCATCTGGTCCTTCAGCTCGTCCAGCAGCGCGTACAGCGACTGGAACTCGTTCTCCAGGTCCTCCTGCGCCCGCGACGAGTTGGCCTGGTCACAACGCCCCAAGGGGTGTCAGGAGGGTGCCACCCCTACCCGGGACCCCATTGCACAGGGGGCAGGGGTGGGGGGAGTCCCCAGGGGGAGGGCAGAGATCCCCGGTACCTCCACATTCTGCATCATCTGCTTGAGGGAGTAGATGAAGTTCTGGATCTCCTCATTCTTCACGGCCAAGGTGGTGATGATCTTCCGCAGAGACTCCTGTCC